GGGATTTTATTAACTGCTTCTTGCCGGCCCGGCCCATTGAGCCGATGGCCAGGCTAAGCCGAAATTTAAACCAACCCACACACACGATAGTAGAAATTTGCCCACATATCGCTCGACTCGGATCCAGCATCCTAGATAAGAATCGGGGAAAAGTCTAGCTGGTAAGCTGTACGCCCTCTGCCACCGAAAAGAACAACAATAGTCGGTGAGCAGGAAAATCGAGCCAGTTAATGGGAACACCTCTTCCCCTTGTTGATACCTGGGGGAAACTGAGGCCAAGGACTTCGCCCCAAAAAGCATCCTTCGAGGCGGTATTCCTCTGCTGGCACTCACAAAGAAATTGAAAAATGCTCCGGAATGAATCAAAGTGAAAAACGAATGTGCGAGGCAGAGCCACCGAGCAGCAGACAGAAGGGACTCCGCTCCCGATGTGAGATGTGCGATGTGCGATGTGCGATGTTGAATGTTGGTTGTTGGTTGTTCGATGTGCGCTGCTGATGTGTGTGCTGCGTCCGCCTAACGAGCGAATCGTGTTCGATAAATATTTACCAGTCATTCGTAGCGGCCCTGAACCACCGAAGGAGAAGGATGCGGGCGATGGCGAGGGAGTCACTGCTGAGACACTCCATGCGGGCAGGTGCCCAGCCCCACACTCGAAGAAAAGTCTGACGAAAGCGAGGACATATTCGTCGATTTCCCTCGCAATGCGGTCAGATGGAATTACTAACCTTCAAAGTGGGCAAGGAATATTAATCAACTTATACTTGGGCACAACTACTTCCTTAACTGAAAGTGGAATTAAATCACTTTTGATACTGACAAAAATGAATCGATCACAAAGTATGTATTTCGTAATGTAATTATCACTGCAATATTCCTTAGAATAAATGTTCCAGTTCTTTGGCTTGATATCAGGTCTCAGGATAAAGCAAAGTTCAGGCCAAAAGCCTGAAGTGTAGATTTTGGAGGGATATTCTCGACACCCCCTACCCTTTCTGCCAGTTGAGTGACTCTTTTGAATCCGTGGCGAATCCCGAGCCGTCCATCAGCTGCGTGCTTAGCTAATACCGCGTCGGCAGTGCCTTTGCATCTGTGCATCTATTCGGATTCGCGTCTATGAAATATTCATTCATTTGCAGCTCACTCCGGAGAATCGGTTCATGATGTTTTCCGCTGATACTGCGGCTCCTCCTCCTCCTCCTCCTCCTCCTCCGGGACTCTCTGGTTCTGTAGCTGCTGGTGGAGGTGGAGCTGGAGGTGGAGGTGGAGGAGGCCCTCCTCCCCAACTCATGCTGCGATTTATGAGCGCCCAGTGTGTGCTTTCATAGTTCGCAACTGAATTAATTGGCTACTGCGCCAGAGGCGCAAGATAAGCCGGCGATAGATCCGGACATGTATTTACCATATATTCCGCACTTGCCATTAAAATAATTTAATCAAAATGTTGTTCGCAGTGGTCCAATGCATCCCACAAGGCGCCGGCGAGATCCTGATTTCGATAAAGGCGGATGGCTGGATGGCTGTCGAGGAGATATATCTTTATAGAGCACATGTGCCGCCTGTCTTCTGGTGTGAAAGTGGGTACGTGGGTGGGGAGCATAAATTTTAATCAATTCTTTGCTTACTTTTGCTATCTCTTGGCCGCACTTGCTTTTTTATTTTATTTACTGCTCGGAGTGCGCAACTCTCGAATTGTAATGCACTTTCCTTTCTTGGCCGCCTATTCTTGAGGTGAGCTTATACGCTTTTTGGGTATACTTGGAACTTTGAAGACCTGAAAGCCTGGGCAATAAAAGCAACAAGTTTTATCAACATTTTTCTAAAAACAGATATGAAGTCCCAAGTGACTAAAATGGCTTAAATACATAAATTGTTTCATCATTATGGATTGCGTGCGATTAAAAATTGATAAATTGACACAAAGAAATGTATTGCCCTATGCTAACGTTTATTTTAGGGATGCTAACAATTTGTATACATATTTTAAGAATATTTAAATAAGATTCATCAAAGATACATAAGCATAGATACATTAAAGAATAAGATACAATTTGATCTGATACCAAGGCTTTGATATTAATTTACTCTCATTAATTTCATTGTCCCTTCGAAAGCGTATTCACACTTCTTGGCCAAAACACTGTTGCGTGCTTTTTTACTGCGAAACTGCAGAGCACAGCTGATTGTAACGGAGGCAGATTAAAACTTATGCACACACTCAGCGCAAGTTGGTATTTCCCGGCTCCGAATCTTCGGATCCTGGGAGTGCGACTTAGACTGGCCGTAATGTGAGCCACGCTAGTTTTATGGCAGTCAGACAAATGGGAAAATGGGTTGCGGCCACACCGAGCCCAGTGACAATAAAAAATGTAACTAACCGCCACTGCTCCGGTCGAGGCATTGTAAATGCTTTATGAGCCTTCGGAGTGCCATAATTTTCACTTAATAATCCGTTGAGTAGCTGTCCGTGATTTGTGGCCATCCCGATTCGACCCGATTTGCCGGGAACAAAGCTGAACAGCATAGCATACAGCAGAGTATGGGACAGTCGAGAAAATAAAACAAGGGCGCCGAACAGCAGTGTAATGAGCTGCGGGAGCGGTGGCCAAAACAATTTGAAAGTTTTTGCCAAAACATAATGTGTGGCTAATTTTATTTGTCGCCAATAGGGAGCGATGCCGTCGTCCGCTTGACACACTAATTTATAGTGAGCCAGAGCTCCGGACCACCTGCTTCCAGGCTCCCAGCCCCGGCAGTGGGTATGGCTTTTGGATACTCGTATTCCCGGGACGACTACAGGAGCACCACGAAATATGGCAAAATTATAATGCACAACCTCCACCCGCGCCAGGCACAAAAATTATTTAATGACCAAATTGCACATGAAATTGCGAGCATAAACTAATTACCGCGGATAAAGTTTAACAAAGGCAGCGCAATTGAGTGCTGTTTCCGTGCACTCGAAAGATCAGGGAAAGGCTTTGAATGGACTGATGGAAAGGAATATTATTTCCGTGTAAATTACTCTGCAGTGTATTTATTAAATAGCGACACACAATCAACATCATGAACTTCTTATGTCAATTGTACTTATAAAGTGCTTCTTTGGCGGAATGTAATGTAATGAACTCCTTGTCAATTGACAAGGACAATTGTTTAAATAAGATATCCTTTCCTAGACAGACATATTTTCTTCAGTGTACTGTTCAGTCCTGGCTACAGCTTAACTGGAGGGCGCCCAGCTGGGTAATGGCGCACATCGAATCCCGGTTCGAGGCCAGAGTCCTGCGAATCGACTGCCATCCCGCTGCTTCTGGCCACCAGTCGGCACTCATATGACGAGGCCACCGTTTGTCAGCATTACCGGTATTTACAATATATATTTTAATATTTTCGAGGCCCACACTCTCAGCCAGGTCGCCTCCATCTCCAATCCCTGTGTGTTACGCTGCCAAATTGTTTATGAAAAATTGCGTATGACGACGCCGTCGCTGGCCCATAAATCAAGCCGCCTTGGCCGAGGATTTGGGCCAGCAGCTCCGCTGGCTCCGATGGCTCCGCTCGGTAATTACAATGTAGCCGCCTGTGAATTTAACGATCTGGGGGGACCTCGGGCGGCGGAAACACAGCAATCCCACCCACTTCCGTCCGGAGTCCCATTCCCATCAGAACAGAAAGGGTTCCCTTTCGGTCAGTTCGGTTGGTCAGCGGGTTGCCGGTTGTGCATTCGGGGCGGCATGTTAACAAAAGTGTGAGCGAAGTGGAAAATAACATTAAAAGGGCTATAACAATAACTAACAAAGACACCAAAAGCAAATGGCAATGCCGAATGGTTGGCTAACTGGCCAGGGCCAGGACGCTCTCCACCAGCTTTTCCACTTTCCCGCTCTCCCGCTTTTCCCCTTTTCCCAGCTCGACCAGGAGCCGGCCGACAAAAATTAAATGGCGCGAGAAAATTGCATCGTCGGTGTGGTGCAAAAAGAGAAAAGCAGGTTTACATAATTGCCCGGAGCAAGAGCTCGCACTTGGATAAAAAATCGGCACTTAAGGCACAGTATCTACAAAGTAAGTGTGCACCGAAAGCTTGTTTTATAAGATCCTATTTCAATTAAAAGAGTAAACCGTATATTAATGTAGTTGATTTTAACATTTTTTTGGTAGTCTTAGGATTTTAGTATTAACTTTATGTGAGTTTAATCATTTTTAGAACTTATTTCAGTTTGACTGCGGTATAGTAACAAAATATTTGTACACCGAGTATAGTTATATTTCTGAGACCCATTAGGAAATAAAATAAACACATTAACGGATAATTACTTTTTGCTTCCCTTTTTTACTCGAGAGGAATTTTTCCCAGTGCACGCCCCACAGATTTGCTGCATAAGCCACAGGCTGAGGCCCGGACTGGAAAGCAATCGTTGCTACAGCGCCGTGTGCACACATGTGGCTTACACGGAGCCAGACCCTCTATAATATTAAACTATTTCCAGAAATATACACCCTTTGCCTTGGGCAGCTCTGCGGTGGCATAGTTTTGGCTGCTCCTTTGCTTTAGTTGGGCAGTAAGTCACTTTCACAGAAGGCTGGAATTCAACGGTCCTGGTGATGAGGTAATAAAAGGACATTTTGGCGGGCGATCCTAACAGGAATAATCATCTGGGTTTGGCTTGGAACCTATCTGCTCCTCCTGGTGAAAGTCCGCCTAAAAGTATGCAACACAATCGGCGAGTTGAATCGGCATTCAAGATGCTGCAGTATTTAACCGAACGCCAAGTAAGAATTAGGCCTTGCATACTTTGAGGCTCAATTGCAAATTGATGAAACAAAAGCACTGGTTTAATTGCATTTGAAATACATGCTCTGCACTTCAGGCTAACAATTATTTGTCGGCAAATATTGGTTTGCTCTTGGTGAAATATTTCATCGGCCCGACCAACATTCTAGCCACTCGGAAAACGTATTATCCCCATGTAGATGAGATCATATGAAAAGACAGTGGCTGCTGGTTGACTTTTTATTTATTGCTGAATTCTTGTTAGGTTTGATTGTTTTAATAGCTTAAAATTGACAAACCTATATAAATTATTCAAAAACTTAAATGTTCTCATTGGGCTTCACCGATAAAACAAACATTTATTTACCTAATAATAACCTATCATATAAAATGTCTAACTTACCGCTTTATAAAAAATGATTTGACACGTGTTTTAGCTTCCGCTAACAGAGAAATAAATCCTTCAATGCAAACTAATTAGAGAATACAATTTGTAGCAAAGTACTTAGCCCATAGTTTCCCATTCCGCATATGATGCCCCTTTCGGTGCCCCCTTGTGTGTAAAACCTAAGAAAGTATCCCCCTCTATTCTCTCGAAGATTAAAGTAGCACAGAGCCCTGGGACGGATTAGCTATTCACTACTTAGGCCTAGCATATTTCGAGCGTATTGGATTTTGGTGGCTTAGACTAACGGGGCTTACGACTACTAGAACTGGGATGGGGGCTCAGCAGTTGTGGCACTTGACCAGGCCCACCTCGTCGCAGTTCATGCACTTCAAAGCCACGAACTCGGCAGTGAAGTGGTTGCGGTGCACGGACTTCTTGGACCCGTTGCAGGAGGGGCAGGGCAGCAGGCGGTAGCCGCCGCAGGTCTGGCAGGTGTAGGTGCTGGCCATGGACTTGTACGGCTTGAGCAGCTGCCTCAGCTCGCCGGACTCGTTCAGCCGCTCGACGGTCTCGGCGTCCCCGATGTGCTGGCCCTCGACGTACAGCTGTGGCACCCGCACCTGGCCACTCTGCATCCGCTGGCGCATCTCCGCCTGGTACTCCACGCTCATGAAGACGTCCCGCTCCTCGAACTTGACCAGCAGGGTGCGCAGGATCTGCTTCACGTTGGCACACTTCGTGTAGGTTTCCCGGATGATGCCCATGCTGGTGGTGTACAGCACCACCTTGCCCAGGTCTTTCTCCTTGAAGTTCTGCGGGGCGAGAGGAACGAAGTGGAAAAGCAGATCACAGATTAGTTCGAGGTTAGTTCTGGTTTGGAGTTCGGTGGTGAGATGATGAAAACCAGGCCACCGAAAACTGGAAACTGGCCCGCCATTCGCCACAGAGTGCGGATTTCGAACTCTGTCATGGCCAGGCAGAATGGCAATGCCAAATTGGGTCTCTACCGGCTGGGGATGAAGGCCAACCGCAGACAAAGGCGATGCGGAAGCCGCATAACATACAGGTTTTAGCATTCCAAGCATGATATTCTACGGTTGACTGTCTCATGTTGGGGTGACCAATGCACTTCAATTCCATCTTTAATGTTATGCTCTTCAAAAGAGGTATTTTGAGGATTACATAGATATTATATTGATATTTTCCTACAATTTGAAACACAGTTCTCTGGCTCCATAACCAATTGTACAGTTATTCTGCAGATATCTCTACTTTTCTCTATATTATTATAAAACAAAAATAGTTTTTGGTTACTAACATAACAAACAGATCGTACACCAATTTTAGATTGCATTGCTCTCACATGGAAAAAATAATGTTGTCTGACTTTAATTTCCTACATTATTGGATCAGCTTACATAGAAAATAATTATGTTGTTAAATTGAAAGACGAAAGACCACTGTGGAATATTTTCTGGAATAAATGTGGGCAAATATGGTTAGTTTCTTTCGATTCCTATGCGGTTTTATTTAGTGCTTTATTTTGATTTACTGTATAGCCAGCACTAGGACCTAGAATCAGGTCTTGGCCATAACCCGACAAGGCGGCTTGGGATTCGGGTGCTGAAAACTGGTTGGAAATTGCATTTCGAACTGCGGCTGGGGGAAAAGTCTGCTCTCTCTGCCAGGCTTCGAGTTCATTAGCTTGAGAGTTGGACTCACGTAACCCAACTCCACAGCTCCGCAACTCTGCATGTCACTCAAAATCCTATTAATCAATACAATTAAGCAATAATAGGAAAACTGCTAGGCAATCGACGTCGCCAGCCACCAGAGTCACAATGGAAACCTGGAATGTTTTCCCGACAATTTATGATGTCTTATTTTGTAAGCCAAACCGGTTCGCAGCTGGGTTCGCTCATTTCATTTGACAATTAACATTTCCGTTAGTTGGCCAACTTTGGTGGCGTCTGCTTTGGCTAATGATCCAAGTGGTCCGAACCGAACCGAACCAAACCGAACCGAACCAATCGCATCTGATCCCGGTTCCCCCACCTGCTCTATTCCTGAGGTATCAATGAACCGTGCAGATGCCTTTTGTACACCTAAATAAAAGGTTGAGCAATCTCGAAAGACATTTTGAATGGGCGTTGATTTGAAAACTAAGGAATGCATTTTCGATGATTGGGTGTGGTTATTTAGTGGTATGATAACAACCTGCACTACATAATAGCTGAGTTTTTATTAATAATAATATTGGTAATACAAAAATTTGTTGTTTTCTCAAATGAAGCTATGTCAACGAAACTATTCTTTGATTGTGTGGACACGCAAGCTTCTCTCTGAGGACACTAACAATTTAATTCGTGAGATTAGCGAATGATTAGGTCCTCTACCTCTTGAAACCGGTGAGACGAGAATTCGCATGCCAATGGAAGGAAGAAAACTTATTAAGCTGGTGAGGCGGGGAAATGGAAAATGCACACATACTCGTGCACAGCCGAAGTAAGAGACAAAAACACAGCATTCCAAGAGAGATGCAGCTGCAAGTGCCGTTGTCAACGATAAACGACAAAAGCGAGAAAAATATTTCACGACAAAACTGAAGAAAAGTTCAAAGCCACGCAGCACGAACCGAATCGACAATAAACAACTGGCTGGCTGACAAACAAACAACTAGCTGCGGTCAAATGGAAAGTCAACTCCAGCTCCAAGTGAACGTTGCCGAGCTGTTTTTCCAATTCAATTCCACCGATTTTCTTCTGGCGAAAAGAAAAGCCCCCAAGCTAATAAGCCAGCAAGTGTTGGAGCTGGTGATACCCAATCCGTCAGTGGTTCAATGTCAGCTCAAGCTGATGATTTGCATTGCCAAAAACATAAACACGGCGGCAATTAACAATTGCCACACGTGATTTGCACGGTTGACCTCAGCGACTTGGCGAGTTTTGTCACAGCAGCAGCAGTCGCAGCAGCCGCAGCAGCCGCAGCAGCCGCAGCACAGCAGCAACTGCTACATATAAGTGGCCAAAAGAGAAAGCAGGTCACTTGTATGGCCAAGAGCCAGCGGTGGAGTGATTGGCAATCGAAGAGTTGGGCAACAGCCACATCGAGATGGAGGCTAATGCCGAGCCAGCAGATACTGTTGATGCTTCTCGAAGGTGACAAAGTGAGTTGCACGGGCATGTTTTCCGAGCTGAGCTCCAATTTGTGGGCAATCGGCAATCGGCAATCGAAAAATCGGTGAGCGCTCTAATTATGGCTTGCAGCATGCGCTGAAGAGGCCTGGAAAGGGGCAAAAATAGGTAGAAGACAGGGCCAAGACAATGCTGGCCCAGCTTTTCACTTTCGATTTTACTGCTCTGCATGCCGGCTGCATTGTAATTAGCAGCATCTCACTTTCCTCATTGTGGCTACGAATGCTTCCTGCTGCCCGAATCATTTGCTCATTTGCATGCGAGCCGCTATAAGGCCATAAAACATTTCTATTCAGTTAGCATCCACTTAAGTTATGCCGATCCGCCGTTGTTTCTAGTCCGCCAAGCAGGCCAGCTATCATTCCATCAATTCATCAGGTTCAGAAAGTGAAAAGCCACAGAGTCGTAGGCCGCGACGCGAAGCAAAACAATTAATGTGATCTAAAATCTGCTCATTAAATTAGATAAAGGGAAATCTCGGAGCGGGCAACTAATAAAAGCTAAAAAGCATAAAAACTACATCGTGCCCAAGCAGAAGTGTGGTGTATTTGGACTACAAGATTTCTACTCCCGTCACGGTTGATAAAGGCAAAGCGGGCGAAAAGCGCTCCGAAAGCCGGAAAAACGATTGAGCGGTAATCCAACAAACGGGGACAGGTTTCTGATCCTAACTGGCGTTCGGTGGCGAAAGACTCGAAAGTAATGACAACTATTCCGAAACCCTAATGTGAGCCGCGATTGGGGAATGGAAATTCCTAATGGCAGCAATTCAGATAATTTGGGACATTAAAATCCACATTTTTTTTTTTGATTTCTGAAGACGCAATCGAAATAATAGAAAGCCAAGTCGGTTATAATAAATGAGTATTACTTATATATTTATGACTATTTTTTGCTAGCATGTAGAGGAATGATATAAGAATGGTATAAGTTCTCTAGAAACTAGAAAGCTCTTCAAACAAATTGGTAAATAAAAGTTAATTTGCAAATTCGTGTGGTATACATAGATGGATGAATATGGTCTCTCCTTAAAACATCAACTTTAAATCGAAATTTCGATGGCGGCAGTGCTATAAATTTCACTGACTTTGAAGATTTTTAATCAAAATACTAGAAAGCTCCTCACGCCAATGATCATAAATCAGCGAAGAGATATTGATTAATCAAGTGAATTAATTAAGATCGCTCTATGCAAATCTAGTTCCGAGAACACGCCTCGGTTCGGAAAAGAAACTGTCACTAATCCCGCTTTTACGATGACAACTCCACTCGGCTCCATTGCTCCATTGTCTCCGCGGCATTAGCTGTTCTTTTATTTGCTTTCCAGCCCCAACTCCCAACTGCCAACTCCCAACTGCCAACTGCCCGACATTGACTGCGATTAGTCGTGTCAATCCCGCACCCAAACTACATGTCGCTGGGAACGCGACTTTGGCCAAGGCGGTAACTGGCCAACTGACTTTCTGGGCAAGTTGTAAGCGCGCGCTAAGCGCATACAAAACGACATCGGCGGAGACAAAATAAGCCACTTAACGGTTTCCATTATAATTGAAGAAGAAACCGGCGAAGACGCTGAAAGCGCAGCTGGTTTCCCAGATCTCGGGGCTTCCGAGGGGACATTGGGGAGCCTCTGGCTGTTCATTAGATTACGGGCAATACGAAACACGAAATACAAAATGTGAAAGATATATTGAATGGCCACAGCCACACATCGGCCGCCGCAATTGTTGGCCAGCACTTTCTCCATTTCAGCCAACTGAAATGCCGAAATGCCGAGATGCCGAGATGCAGACAATTGGCAAGATGCTCGCACCGAGCCAATTGCATAATTCGGTCGGGCAGGTGACTCAACGCCCAGCAGCGTGGGAACCCAATAAGCATTGATAACTGAATATTCATATCGATATTCACTCACCGCAGCGGAGGGCAACATTTCAGAAAAGTATTCTGAGGTCGTTGCATCGGGTAATGTAAGCGGTTGCAAGATATAGTTGCTGATCTCGTAAGTTCCCAAGATCAAAATGATAAAATAAACCAAAATCAAATTACTTTTCAGCCTTAAGTTTGGCAAATAATAATAATAACGCCAGAAGACTTAAAAGATTTCACGTGCTAGATCTTCCTGTCAGGCATTAAGTATTAAAACATGTTATGCATAGAGTATGTAGTAGGGCTTAATGGATAACTAATGCCTCTGTTGATTTAAGATTAATTATAAAATTTGCTTATTGTCATACTTGCTGAAGACAGATTTTAAATAAAAAGAGAAGAAAAAAAAATTACTTTTCAAAAATATCATAATTCTAATCGAAACACTGTATTTCTAAGCATGTGGTTTAGTGCGTGCTAAATGTTATTTTTTACCAAAAAAAACTTTAAAATGGTAAACCAAAACTAATAAAAGCTATAGTCGACTTCCTCAACTGTCAGATTCCCGTTAGTGAGCTAGTGGCAGGCGAGGTAGTTGGATTTCCATTTCGATAGAGAAAAAAGTTTAAAAAAACTAACAGCATTTTTAGTAATAATGGGCGTCAATCTGCATACCTTAACTTAATATTTGGCTTTCATAATTTCCCATTTTTCCATATTGATGCGGACAACAGACGGACGGATATGGCCAGATCTAGCTATTGGCCAAGTTAAATACTAATCATCGAATTTTTATGTCCTTTTACTTTATAGTTATTTTATAACCCCTCAAAGAACCTTAAATCTATTAGCTACTCTCACTTGCTACGAGGTTGTGGTAGATACATTTTGTTATTAGATACAAATAGTAGATACAAATGTTATTGGTCAGAGGTGAGAGCAAAGTGAGATTTCTGTGTGCCAATTGCAAGATGCAGAGAGTTACCATTGAAATGAAGCTTAAGACAGTGATTAGTAGCCCGGTAATAGGGGTATGCAGCTGATTGGCAATGCCTCCCGTTATCCAATCATACCATCCCATCCCAATGTGATCCCGGAACTCACCTTGGCATTGGGCTGCTGCTGGAGCTGCAAGAACGTGGCTATTCCATTGCGCACACGGTTCTTGACGCCCCGCACCGTTCCCTTGGCCGATCGGATGGTGGACTGGGTGGAACTGGCCCCACATCGCACGTCCCGATAGCCGGCGAAGAGGTCTTGCTGCTCCGTTAGGATCCCGCTCTCGGAGCCCGCCTCAGATCCCGCTCCCGTGGAGTGGTCCGCCTCGTCGCCGCTTCTCGCGCTTCTCGCGCCGAAGTTCTCGTGCTCGTTGATGTGAAAGCTGTAGTACTGGTCGTCAGCATACTTGTAGTTGATATTGCCGCGGTGTCCGCCGATGCTGCTGCTGGCGGGCAGAGACTGCGCCTCCTCACCGGTTTGCACAAAGTTGGCCCGCTCCACGGCGGCCCGCAGCTCCTCGATCTTGTCCTCGCTCAGCGACTCGCGGGCCAGGCGGAACGGACTGGGCTGCTCCGAGATTTGGTCGGGCGCCTGGATCTTCTCCTCGTCCTCTGGCTGCGAGAACTGCACCACATACTCGGCGCTCCTCCGGTCCCGTATGTCCCGGAGCAGGCTGTCGGGCAGCAGGGCGCCCAGGACCCGCAAGGACTTTTGGCGCTGCCGCTGGCCACTGGGCTGGGAGGCGGACTGGCGCACGTACTCCGTGCTACTGCCGTGCATGGAGTCGCTGCCCAGCGAGGAGGGGCCACTCTCCTCGCTGTCGCCCGGCTTGGTGGGCAATCCGGTGCTCTCCAGGTCGCTGCCATTGCCGCTGTCCGCGGTCTCACAGTGGGCCGCGTACTGCTGATACTGGTCCATGAAGAGGCCGCCCGCGTTACCGCCCTTGCTCACAGGGGGCGTGGCCAGCACCATACTGGTGGTCACTTATCTGGCTAGGTAGACTCTGCGGAGTAGGCCGACTTTCGGCTGCACTGTATTGGCTTTTATCGGCTTGGGCCAGGAAAATTCAAGCGTTCAATGACTCTGACGGCCGTTGCACCCGAGACGTCGCATGTCTTTATGCTTCAGATATCGTCGTTAGACTGGCCCGACTTTTTCTGGCTAAGATGGCAAGCCAGAGCTGCGATCGCCTCACTCGACTCTCTCTCTCTTCATTCACTTTATTCAGCGCTCGCTCAGCTGGAGATTCAGCAACTCCACGGTGGCTTTCTTTAGGCCAGATTGCACCTCCGCAGCGCGTTATTAGATTTGGTAATTTGGAGCCCGTTGCCGCGCTCAAATTGTTTGTCATTAGCAGGAGAAGAAGTTTCTGGCCGCCTCGTGAATTAGCAAATGGCCTACAGAGCCGGAGCAGCAGCTGCCAGAATTGGCATGACGCCTGCGCGTGACTGTGACGCGATCCAACTGGGAAATGTAGTAAGCCAGATCGGAGTTCCGAGATGGCAGAACCGCAAGAACGCGAGTTAGCGGGGCTCCAGCAGCGCCTATTAAATAATATTTCAATTAGGGGTCCATCATCGCTGGCACTTGACCTAGTTGACCCACTCTTTTGGTTAGCGGTTTCCGATTGATTTGGCAGCAATAGTCAGGCGCCTATGAATAACAGATGCGCTCTCCTATGTGATTATCAACTGGAAAACAAGAAAAACACAATAAAGTATATATAAGTAAGCTGAAAAATGTTTAGGTGAGAATTTGGTAGGGTTGTTTTTGAGCTACTTGAATATTATTGCTTGGGCATTTAAGTATATTAAACTTATCTTTAAACTTTCGAAACACCAAGCACTCGAAACACTTGAAACCAAAACGGCTTGTGGGCTTTAAAGTGGGCGTGGCAGTAATTGAATATAAATCTGCTATAAAACGCCCTTTCTAGCTTAGAAGGACATGGCCAGATAGACTCGGCCATTTGTCCTGATTAAGAATATATACTTAATCAATGCGTGAAAGGTGAAAACATGTTGCCACGATCATCGACACCCAAATTTAAATAAAGCTGTCACTAAAGCACAAGCAGTACATGGCATTTGGGACTATCTCCACACAAAGTGCGTGACAATTTTTTATTGAATGAGTCGCCGTCATCGCTCAGTGCCACAGCTTATCCACCGAATCTCGGACAGCTTCCTGTCCAGATAGCAAAGGTTACAGCAACGCATCTAGTCGTCAGTGAAAATGTGCGGCCAGTATGAGTTGGCCCATAAAGAATGTCTGATGTGCAGTTCCCCAAAAACACCCCACTCGCATATTTTCATTTATGCCACAATTCTGGCTGAGGATGAGCGCGTTATCGGCTTAGAGAAACGAGCGGAAAAGATACTAACTATAAAGCTGTCGCCGCGCAATCTACGCAAATGGCACTGGGCTTATCTGGTGGCTTTCCGAAATCGGCCGAATATCACGTAGCCGCAGAGTCTGCACTCCGCACTTTGTGAGCATCTAATTGACGCGTCGGGTGGCGCTATCAATAGACTGAATCCGGGCAATCGAAGCATCTGCATCTATACATCTATCGGCTGTGACAAACTTCGCAGAATGCCGATGCCAAGCGTGTTTATCGCGCAATTTGATGTCTGCAGAATTTGGGGTCCGATAAAGCCGCCAACTCGAGCTACCATGAATTTTTCACTTTGCATGAATTTGGACGCGTGCCTCCGGTGTCATATAAAAGACCCGGACGCATCTCGAGTTGCATTGACTTTCAGAACTGACTCAGAACTGCAAGAACATGGCCGGGAGAAGGGTGATTGGTCTCAGTTTTGGAATACTCTTACTTGCGGTGCTGGCGACTGCTGGCCAGGATCGGCTGAGCATGCTCTGCTCCGACGACGACACTCCTGCCTGCGCCCGGAGTCGTGAGAATGGAATGTACTTCTTATTTGCCAACGAGTGTGACCTGCGGAAGGCCCAGCGGGGCAACCTCATGAGCGGCCCTCTATGTGAGTAATAAAATAATATAATAAAATAATGCTTTGATTTATTTTGACAATATTTTGATTTGTTTATAAGTAATCAAGATTTTTTCAGAAACGTTGAGGAATAGTTTATTATCAACTGACCGCTTGTTATATATTATATTCCGTTTAGATGACGTTACCCTCCGCTTCTGCTTTCCCAGCTGCGAGTTCGAGTGCAGCTCCAGATATCAGCCAGTTTGTGGGATCAGCTCGCGGACGGGGGAACGGAGGACCTTCGGGAGTCGCTGCATGATGCTGCGCGCCGCTTGCATCTCCCGCTCGGATTGGATGGTCCACCGCTGGGGAGTGTGTCCCAAGGCCAACACGGTGCCCCGGGGCAGTCAAAAGCCGGCTATGCCTGTGCCCTGCACCAGGGTCTATCGACCTGTGTGCGCCATGTACGCGGGGGTCAAGTCCACCTTCTCCAACGAGTGCCTGGTGAACGCGGAGAACATCAAGACCCAGAGAAGTGAGTTCTATTAAAGCAATTGCCAAGTCCCAAGAAGTGCGTTTACGAAAAGCAAAAATGTAGCTAATACCGCCTTATATTGTAACGAGATGCGATAAAAGAAACCATAAATTTGCGCGATTTTCCACACAGACTGGCACATCGTTTCCGAGGGCCTTTGTGGCGAGGACAGCACCAAGATGAAGCACAGTCGCAAGCAGAAGCCGAAGGCCAAGCCCAAGTCGGATGCGGAGCGCACCAAGCGGAGCCACAGAGGCAGCAGGTTGTCCACTCAGGCGGAAGACTTCCAGATACCGGAGGACGCCGTGGAGATCTACGCTCCCTCGACCTTTCACACGCAGTTCATCAGCCAGTCGGGCGCCATGGAGAAGAGCTACTCGCTGCCCGCCAGGAAGCCCTACGTGGTGGTCCCTCCTAAATCGAAGTCCCGAATCTCCACGAAATCCTGCGTTTTCGGCAATCAGCCCGTTTGCGGGAACCTAAGGGGCCAGAGCCGCACCTTCTCCAACGTGTGTGAGCTCATGGAGTTCAGCCAAAAAGTCGGAAATGGTAAGTGTATCTTTAAAGTCACCTGCAAAAAGTGGCTAAGACATTCAATTTTAAACTTTACAGTCTTTCAAAGCCATGTTTAGAGCTACTATAATGCTACTATATAGTATCTGCCTCCAAAATGGGTTATAGGGCTTAATATTTCCTAAACCTAATAACAGACCATGTACTAATTGTTGGATTTTCCATAGCATGGACCATTTCCCATGACGGAGCCTGCCGCCGCTGCGATAAGACTTGCCCCACAGTGTATCAACCTATATGTGCCACCCGGAATGGCATCAACCACACCATCGTCAACGAGTGCTATTTGGAACGAGTGCGCTGCAAGGATCCCAAAAGCAGTAAGTTTGTTAGGCACATTTTTGAGGCATTATTCAAGTATCGCAAGTATCTTCCAGCTTGGAAGCTATCCCACCATGGTGAGTGCGCCAAGCCAGTCGGCAGAACACCAAATGTGTATTCCACTGTTAAACGCCGCCCAACGTCTTTGGTGCCAAGTGTTTTGTATGGGAAAAGTACCACCACACCAAGGAACCGCTTCAGGAAACCAGAGCGTAGCTCCACAACCGCAAGGACTCCAACCCCAACATCCCGGCGACGGCTCCTGGCGAAGACAGACGGACAGACGGCCACTTCGCCTTCCCTGGAAGCCAATAATCGCAAAATACGCAAAATTGAGCTAGCCGCTGAAAGATTCGCGGATTTCAGTGCGTCAGGCGGTTCAAATTACCTGAGCTCTATGGAAAATGCTTCCTGGTCCTCAAACGACAATTGGCTGGTGCGCAAAACTCTCGAAAATGTCAAGGGCTTGTTTGGCAAGAAGCCCACTTCCTTTAAGAAGGCGCATGCTGAGAAGTTCCCACTGTCCTATTGGATTGTCCCACCAAGGCAAGCCAGTGCTACCAGCACCACCGCAGCTGCACCACCAGCTGCACCACCAGCTGCACCACCAGCTAAACTACCAGCTATTCTCAGCATGGCCTCCACGGAGCTACTGAATTTTGATTTGGGAGACACTGCCAGCGCTCACGAAGAAGATGAGCACGAACTGATGCCTATGCTGACCACCAAATCGGGCACCACCTCAACCACACCGGAGTCCAGCACCAATGCAGCGCCCCACAGCAGCGATCCTTCAACCACTGACCTGCCCACCAGCGTTGACATTGCCTCCTCCTCGGCGGAAACGGCCACTGAAGATTCCACCACCGATTTCGAAGAAACGACTGACCCAACGGGCTTAACTGCCAGCCACCCTTCCAGCACCTCAGCTGCACCACAATCTTCGACCACCGAGGCCGACGAGTTTAACAGCCAAACCACGGGGATTGAGTCCACAACTACCGCGGCCTCCGACGAGCTGTCCACGAGCACTTTGAATGCTGACTACGCGGCGGATGAGTCCTTTTCCGAGTCCAGTGGCCAGACCTCCATCTATGGGCTCGACAAGAACTCCTTGATCATGAGGTTGCTCCGCGCCCGAAGCAGCCAAAATGTGCTCATCTAGTTAGGTACCTCTGTTAAACATAAATTTAAGTTGTTAACTGCTTACGTTCCCTATAAATACAAGACTTATATATACTTGCGTTCTATCCAAGGGGTTTCAAGGGTTTGACTTTTATAGCAATTGATTTAAAAACAATTACTGCTCTGGAACTTTGCAGACATTTCGTCTTCTTGTCCAGAGATCGCCAGGGTGTCTTCGTTTAGGCCTTCTTGTGGTCTGTATCATTTGCTAGGGTGTCGTATCTATCATTCAATACTAAATTTCGACCGGGTTAATACTTAGAGAAAACTGGCGCTGGCCACTAAAATGGGCATTATTAATCGCAAGTATTTATTTATTTATGGCTCCCAAAATTTCAATACAGACGGATGTTTATATCGAACAGAATATGCTATTTCTTACATGATACACAGAAACATATATTCAGCAAATACAATTTCTTCTGTGGCTACTAGCGGAAGCTAGTTGGTCCATGTATTTAATCGGATCCTATTTGTTGTAGCTTTTTAATTGTTTGATTGAGAACGCATGTAATTGGAGGGTAAAAAAATTTTTGAAAGGTTTTAATCTTGATATCTGTATAATATATATTCTAACGGCTGGCGCAGACACGAAAGGACCGACCGACATGCACTGAAAACGGCTGTTAATTCTGATTATCTTTTTTTGTATCTTTATTAAAACGCTTTGTATTATATGAATAAATGTTATATGAATATAACGATCGTTAGTCTGTACAATGTGTATCACAGTTTGGATTCAAACCTACAGTTCTACTCAAAGCCTTTTCCATTTAGCGGCGACTAGCACCTTGCATACCTTACGTTAGGACGCAGCGACCATTACACATTCTACATTGTGTGCCTATCGCCATCTTGCGGAAGCAGACAGAAGCACGTGGCAAGTGTCGCCTCTTGTACAGGTAGATGGCGGTACTGATTTTACATGTTGCTTACATGTTGTTTACATACAGTCGAATTCGGCTCGATTTTAAACTATACACATACATTTCATTTACGTGCGTACTTATTAATAAAACCACCTTTATGTAGTTTTTCCTTCAATAGCATTCGAATTCGCTTTTTGGATAATAATACAAAATCAGTTTAATTTTCATTTCTAGTCACCTGTGTAATGAAAACTGACTTATTTACTAAAAACTAAACAACTAATAAATATTTGCAAAAGAAGCAAAAAATATATTGCAAAAATTAAACATAAAAAATTGGATACCAAATAATAACAATATATGGTTTAAATTAGTAAAACTACGATAAAGTTTTCAATAAATTGTTGTATGGCAGCTATATAATACAGTCGAAATTATATGTTGTCGAATAACTGGTGCATATCGAATTCGAAAACAGAGAAGGTAAACTTCTGAACATTTTTTCCGATTATTCCTATGGCAGCTATAAGATATAGTAGTCTGATTCAGATATACTATCTGAAACAGAAAGTTGGGAAAGGTGTAGTTTGCGAAGAAGCGGACGGACGGACGTGGCCATTTCAACTCGACTACTGCTACTGGTCAGGAATATGTATATTTTTTATGGTTGCAAATATGTCCTTCACTGGGAACAAAACTATTTGTATCGTTTAATGTGGAAAGATCAGTATGGCTTATCTGGTAAATTTTTAAAATCTAGCCAAAGAGCAGTTTGCTGACACTAAGAGGTGCCTACCTTCTTACCACAAGCTATTTTGTGTAAAAAAATCTCAATTATAAAGGATTTATATCGGATTCTTTCTTTATGTTTTATTAATTCTGTAAAATAATATGGAACTTTCATTTCGCTCACGATATAATTACCCGCATTTCATCCAATTGAGCTCTAAATTTAATAGTGACACTAAAAGAGACTTGCTATCTATGTTTCAAGTTACGTACTTTTTTATCTTCAAATTTGTGTCCGGATAAAGGCAAATTGAAGGTGGTTAAGGAAACTGCATTTCGTTTAGAGATATGCACTAAAACGGCCTAGCACCAAGCCGATCCGGCATCAGCACCCGAACGGAAATTTCACTATCAAACTGGTCAAGGCCATAACCACGTCTTTACGACCCAGGTCTGTCTGATGGCCAAGTCAGCATGGCCAGTGGCACCTTGACAATTATCGGCCCATCCGGCCGCCTGCACGGGCAGGCAAATGGTCCAAAAATCTTGGCACATCGGATTTTCTTAATTGCCTGGCAATTTGGTCTCGGTTTCAGCCTCTCACCGCCTTTGTTAATTTCTCGTAAAAGTCGTTTCGGGCCGTGGATTGTGGTGCAAATCCGAAATCCTCCAAATACCCGCACGTTTGCGTGCTCCTTGTGATTTAATATGTAGGCATCAAATGGGGCAGGCAGTGGGGTAGGCTTTTGGTAATTATTGTTAGCCGCTTGCCGGCAAAATATCTGCGATCCTGGCTCAAACACGATGTTTACACTAAATTGGCGCTTGGCAACCGAAAACTTTCTTCGCAGCTGTGTGGGCCGATGCATTCTAGTCTATTGATTCCGGCCGGGGGCCACTCAGCCGATTACCTCACTCTCACTAAATGCGAACCCATATGGTGGCCACCCATCAGCATGCAGCCATCATCCAATCAATCTCAGTGCGAGTGGTGTCAATCAGCGCCGCTCGAGAATTCGACGCAAAAAGAGTCGACAAGCTGCGCCAATTGTTACTTTCACTAGTCCATAATGCAACAGGGGCAATGCATCTCCATCCCCGACAACAACAACTTTCGCATCTCGCGTCTGCGGCTTGGTAATTAAGACGGTCACAGCTCCATCTCCAGCTCCAGCTCCATCTCCAAGTAGTCATTTATTCCCAGGCCGCGAGCACTGGAGTAGCTGAAGTATGCAAATTGCACGATGCAATAGCCACCCGGTGCATGGCTAGCTTAAGTCCGCATAAATGCACATTTGCACTTATTCTGATTGGCATCGTTGGCCCGAACGACCACTGCAACTGGCACTGCTGGTGGCGCCAGGCCAGCGTAATTGTATCGGGGCACGGAACGCGATTCACTTTCGATGGCCGGCTTTCATTGGGACTCATACTCACACTCGCACGCAGCGGGAAGGCGGTCAATTGGCGGTTGCCTGGCTTCATAATCCCGCGACAATGCGTTTAAATTTGTTGTCTATCGAGCGCTGATCAGCGATCGCAGATTGCAGCTAGCAGATCGCGGATCGCTGACCCAGAAACTTTCAGTGGCAGTGGCATTGGCATTGGCGGCAGGAATTGCGATTCCGGTGCATGCCCCAAGCTCGTACGCCATGCTCCACACCACATGCTCCAGCTAGACGAGCACTGGCTGCACAAAACCAGTAGAGTTGGCCTGTGGTTGCGGCTGCGCGATAAAAGGAGCAGCAAGCACCTCTCGGTTGCCATTTGCCAGTCGTCCATTCAGCCGTGCGGTGCTGTCCCAGTGATCTCGTAGTCATCCCGCGTTACATCAAATCCGAATCCGAGTCCGAGTCCGAATCCCAGCTCCGACCACAAACATGCTGCTGTGTCGCGTTGTGCTGGCACTGCTGCTGCTGGTGCTGCTCCACTACTGCCAGGCGAAGGATGCAGGGGAAACCACGCAGCGTGGAACGGCTCCGGTCTCCCTGGCTGAGAGCATGGCCAGATCGGCAGGATCGCAGCTCGTCCAAGGCGACCCCTTCATCGCGCGCAACCAGAAGCAGTGCTTCGAGACGCGCAGTCTGGTGTCCTGCATCAAGTACAAGGCCAGCAAGCTGATCTGGAAGCTGGCCACCAACAGCTTGGGCTTCTTCCCCAGCGAGTACGGGCGCGATCTGGCCGAGGAGCGAGGCCGCTGGCTGAGATTAGTCCAGCTGGGCGAGCCAGCCGACGAGGTGGTCGTGTTTAACGACGCCAAGAGCTTGGAAGGTGGGTCCGCGCAATCGAAAGTTGTTTTCGGGCAAATCCGCAGCTCGAATCTCCCAGTTTGGGGTGCCAGGGGCGACGGGTACTATAATTGATCACCTGTGCCTGGTCAGTATCCACAGCGAATGGATAACACGCAGCGGATGTTTACGGTCCATCCGGCTGTTAATTAATTTGAAGAATTATTGCCTCTTGTATTTGCATTTCTCGAGCCTCTAATTGACCGGGCTCTTTGTTTGTTTTGCAGGTGACAGCGAACTGACCATGATTCTCAAGTTCCTGAAGAGGGCCGTGGAGACCTTTGGACGAAACCATGGACTGCAGCTGAGACTGAACAGCGAGGGCGGAGCGAGAGTCATGGAGGAGTCAGGTGGGTGTCACCGAAAGCTGCCAGTTACAGCTCAAATATAATGCAGATGCACCACCCTCAGAAGCCAGACTGAAGCGCAAGAAGAAGAAGTGGCTTATCATCCTGCCCCTCGTCATCCTAATGAAGATCGCGCACCTGAAGATGACTCTGGTCAGCCTGCTGATGGGCGTGCTGGGCATGAACGTGCTGCTGGTGGGCGGCGTGGGCTGGCTGATCCACTACCTTAAGTACAAGACGATGTGCAAGATCCACCCGCACCTGGTGCAGACGCACTCGCACGTCTACGAGTCGGACCCCACGGACTACTCCCAGTTCGTGGGCAGCAGCAGCTACTCCAACTCGTACTCCCCGTACAGCTCCGGATCGGGCGCTCCTCACGAGATCGGGGGCAACAGCTACAGCAAGGACTGGGCCCAGAGCAAGGCCTATAACGCGCACAACTTTCTGGACACGATCAGCAAGCGGATACAGTAGGGAATCCGAGGACCCAAATGGATAGTGCCAACATACCGAAACCTAGTAAATTGTTACTCGTCGCCGTCATCGCGCCATTAGCTTAGGTAATTTATTTGTATCCTAATAAAGGTATTTATTTTTTTAATGGGCAACCTACACCTGGAGTTTTAATAAAAATAGGTTTCAAAACAATATTAAAACAGGTTCCGAGTAAGATTGATTACATATTGAATAGTAACCAATTTATTCTGATTTCAAAAACGCATATTTAATGCAACGAGATTTCTGTTTCATTCAGACAGCCGTGTTAAAGAATGCAACGGCAGCAAAACGCGCAGTCACAATGTAAACATGTATATACTAACAAATCCTATTTATATGTACTACTTAAACATATATTGGCGGTTTTGTTTAGATTTCCTGCATGCGCTGTCACCAATTTAAAAATCTTCCCTGAGATGATTTCCCCGCAGGCCCAACGGATTTACCAGCGCAAACAATTCTCGTACAGGCATAAAGCAATTTGTTTATGGCGAAAGCAAACAAGCACTTCCACACAGACACCACTGGCCAAAAAAAAAAACCAAATAAAAATGAAAACAAAAGCGTGTGAGCCGCGTTGGGCTCTAGTGTTTACCCGGTTCTTATCAGTGGCATTGCCTTTGTTTACCAAACAATGGGGATTTGCCTTCCGAGAAGCCATTTCAATTTGGGCGAATCAATACGCCTACCAACTCCAAATTCTCGGACCGAAGTCTGAAAATTTAATTGTTCCAGAGTGCGTTTACAGGGAAGTTTAACGGAAATGTGAAAAAGTTTAGTTTGCGATTTAATGACCGACACACTAAATATTTTTAAAATACTTGATTGCTACAACCACCGCGTTCATCATGGCGAAAGTAAAGTATAGTTGGTCGTGCTTGCAGCTGGTCAGCTTAAATTGGTTTAAGATTTTATTTACGACTCCGTACTTATAAGCTACTTTAGCAAGTGGGGCTTGTGCGATTTAGATAAATTCATTTTACAACGAATTATGGCAAAAAGGCCAGCCACTTCTGTTCCAGATACGTGAGGTTTTTGTTATCATCTAATAAACGAGCCATACCTTGTGCGAAATTGTGAGAAAAACGTCTGCAGAGGCTCCTGATTTATATTTCCCACTATTTTGATTTTTGCAATTGGGTAAAAGTAAATTGAGGTTATAAGAAATACACTTATACTTATTTTTACGAGGCTGAGAGCTAATGAGGTGTACGAGTATATTAATGATTTAATTATACGTTGCTTGTAAAATAAGAGGGTATACTAGATTAGTTGAATGTTGAAAGTATGTTGAATGCAGAAGGAAGCGTTTTCGACCATCTAAAGTATTTATATTCTTGATCAGGATCACTAGCCAAGTTGATCTGATCATGTCCGTCTGTCCGTATAAACGCCTCGATCTCAGGAACTATAAAAGCTAGAAAGTTGAGATTAGGCATAGTAACATAGACGCAGAGCCATTTTTCCAATGTTTCCATGTTTCCAATGTTTTCCATGTTTCCAAATGTTGCGATGCCCACTCTAACGCCTTCATGAACCCAAAACTGCCACAAACTCTTGCGATTTGTTTCGTTATTTTTGGAGTTTTTATAAGTCTTGTAAATTTCTGTAGATTTGTGAAACACGGCCACTGTAACGCCCACAAGCCGCCCAAAACTGCTAAAGTTTTTTTAAATTTTGTCCCATTTTATTATTTTTTTCCCCGAATTTCGACCGATATTTCAGAAAAGGTTGAATTTTCTCGTTTGCACTTCCGCTAGACGAGTAACGGGTATCTGATAGTTCATTCTCTCTTGTTTTCATTTTAATTTTTATTGTTTTTGCTTCACTGAAATATATGTAGCACTACCTACGTATTTTATGCATTAAACCACAATGAATGACGTCCTTATTTTCAGCAGTATCGATTCATATGCTACAACGATGTCCATTAATAACCTGGTCGTTTGCAAGCACAATGAAATATGTGTTGGCTTCCCATATAGATTTATTTGTTATTTTTGCATTTTGTTTATGCCGCAGGCGATTCTTCTTCTGCTAGACCCCAGCTGGGCCAATATAGAAATGCTATGTTCGGCGTCCTTTTTTCCGATGTTTACCAGCTTCTTATCAGGGCCTGCCTTTGTTTGCCGTACAATTTGGTCCGCACTCCCAAGAAACTATGCCGATTGTTTGGCCAGCCAACTACGCACGTCCCGTAATCAATTGGTTTAATGCCAGTTAAGTCCCCATCGGGCCAACTGGCTGATATCTGCTGCAACACATGTAAATGATTTAGCCGGGCAAATATCAGTGCGCACATTCATCTGTTTGCTCTTATTTATGGCCCGATGGTATAATGCAAAGCCCACAAAAGGCTAGCAACTGTCTAATATATGTGTCGAATAATAACACAAATGGAAAGTGGTGAGCAATGGAATTTATGAGCTTATTTGTTAAATGAACCTCGGGTGACTGGAGTCAAGTCACTTAATGCAACTGTGACGTTCGTACAAATGATCAGGGTACTAGCCAAAATCTCTTTGTGCTGGAAATTTAAATTAGTTTTGGGTTATTTCTCAACTACGATGGTCCATTTGACCAGATATACCGATATGAACAGAAATATTGAGGCAGTTCCTCATTAACTTGCGTTGCAAATCGCAATTTGAAGCATCCTGCATCACAAACTCTGAGCAAAGCTATGATTACTGGTGTAAATATAAATTGACCACTTCATTAATATTATGGGAGTGAAAACTAGTCTGCATGGTCTGTATAGTCTGGTGTTTTGCTATCAAAATAAAAAAAGCATCCATGATTATAACGAACATAGATGATAGCCTTTGTTCTGGAACATGTACACATAACTTAGTTTGCTAATGAAATAAATACTTTAAACAGTTCGCAGCGGGACATTGGGTTTTTTTTTGCATTTAGCCAGATAAAGGATCTACCTAATAACACAGGACTGCACTCTCGGTTTTATGGACAGAGTTAAGGTATACAATCCAGTAATTATTCCAGGTTGTGTACGGACTTAACTCATTTTGCGGAAATATAAACGCCTCCAGATGCTGCAAGCTCAAACTGTTGAACCAGTGATCATGCTTCCCAGCTAGCTACAGAGAATTACATCCCAAGAGCCCTTAAGAGTTCCACAAGGATGAGCAGCGACGTGTCCAGAAAGTCTGCGCCATGCCAGCTACAGAGGTGGGTGTGATGACTCGTATCTATGTGGACCTTCAACAGGGAATGGAGCCGAGCAAAAGCAGTTCTACATCCTACGAACCTGAAGAAACCAATGGCGACAAGTTGGAAAAGTTGCTTGTTGGTCGATTGCTAGACTACCAGCAATAGTTCCAGTATCATGATGCTGGGAAACTACAATTATTTCCATTTCAGCAATTGCCTTTGCCAGCCGTTGATTCGCACTACTTTCTGAACTACCAACATCTAGCGGATGGGGCAAGAAATCGGGTCTTTTTGAGCATTATCGCACAACGGTTCATCTTCCACCTCTCAGGAATATGAACTTCAGATTGCAGGCCATATGAGTAAGTATTGTGAAACTAATCAATGTCTGGCATAACTCAAACCTATACCATTTACTCGGTTTTTTTCCCCCTTGTATAATCTTCGCATAATTTACAATGAAGCTTAAGAGACCTCAGACCTCTCAAGTCCTTCGTTACTAGATATCGGTTTATGCCAGTTAACTGGTGATTATAAATGCAATTTCTAGCCATTCTCGATACTAACTGTTTTGGTATCTTTTTTTTCATATACATATCAATATCTATCAATACTACGTAGTCATTCTGAATGTGTGTTGCAGTATGCTTCTATTGTGGTGCCTATTTATTTTATTGTCCGCAGTTAAGGCAGGTTGATTAGCTATCAGCAGGCAGCACTTTGTTTTGAAATATCAGTACATCCCGATCCGTAGTTCTGGCCTCACTTTTGGCGGGGTATGATCAAACGCCATTTTAGCCTCAACTGTTTAGGTATAACCTTGTTTGATATGACTCAATTTTCCAGGCATACGCAGTTTCTGCCATCTCCTCGGCCAATGTGCGGAGCTTTTCCACCCCTAGCTCCAGTGATAAGAAAGCTCTGCACAGCTGACGACCCCAAGTCCAAAACAAACTCGAAGCGAGGGCCCACGGCCTGTTGGCCAAGTGCGATGCCTTCAGTCGCGACTTCTGTGCCACGCGGCGTATACGCAACGCGCAGCGGCAACCAGCGAATCCGGCGGATATATCGGCGGGACGAGGCTATATAAGCAGGGGATGCGCACCGAAAGCCAACAGATGGTCGCCGACTGTGCACGCGTGTGGTTATCGGGAATCAGTAAAAATCCGTGCTAAACACCGAAACTTATTGTAATAAAAGCGCGTGGAATAAGCGGAATAATCAAAATGCGGCCGCATATTTATTTTGAGTTCTGAGACGGCTGAGCACAGGGGCAACCAAACTCTTTGGATCTGCACGGAATCCAGAATTCCGAGAGGTATGCCATCGACGTGTGTTTTGTGTTTGTTTTCCCACAATGTGCCGCCATTAAAAAGTGAAGCGTGAGGTTTTCGCACGGAGCCTCGACATTTACGACCATTTTTCCCTGATGCGAAGTGGTCTGCGGAAATTCGCTAATTGTCTGCCGGACGCCTCGCAGTTGTCGGTATTTATTATGATTATTTTCCCGAACGCGCTCCAATGAATCTGGACTGCAAGTTGTAAATTAATCGAAGGCGAATATTCCCCCGCGTCTCCCGAGCTAACAAATCTTTGGAGTCTTTGCCAAGTGACGTGTGTGGGCAAAGGGCAAAAATAATATTTTAACAAACATACAGAACTTGATGGTGTACTTGAAAAACTATTGAGGTGCGTTGAATGAATTTCTATCGCGCGTAATGAGATGAAAACGAGTGCTGCAGTTCAACACAAATTACAACCAGACGGCCATTTACTTAATGGGATTATTAATGGACTCTGAATAATAAAGCGGACTTCCGCCACTTATCAAAAGAAAATTCCGTGCGTTAAAGGAAAATTCTGAAAAGAATATTGCAGCAGTAATGATTATAATGACATGACGAATTAACCATCTGAAGCCAAGCAAATTGTGTATAGATAGATTCTTGAGATAATTAAGAAAGAGCACTTTGAGCCTTGACTTTTTTAAGTCCGACGTATGCTTATCGATTGGAAACTAACGACTTTTATTTAAAAAAGACTAATAAAAAGCCCACCCATATTTGGCCTTGGTATTGAAACATTTGAATAGAATTTATTGAAAGAGGTTTCAATTCTTTAAATTTTAAAGTTTACTCAGTGAAACTTTACTTAAAATAAAGGTGGATATAAAAAGGTGATATACTCAGTGCAATAGAGTTCAGTGAAAGGGATTAAAGTATGAAGTGCTTTGTTAATGGTTAATGAAGTTCTAATGACATGACGAGTCAATTTAAAGTTTGGGGTTTCACCGTTCAGCTGAGCATGACGTGAACGGGAAAAACTTCCTCAAAGTGCGCCAGAGTCTGGAAAATGTTCCAAAAGTTATGCATACAAATATATGCAAAACTGGAACGCCCAAGGCACTCTTAAAGTGCAACTTGTGCCAACTTTTAGCTTCGGGCCCGTGTGCTTGCTGCCATAAGGATTAAGGAACTGAGAATTTTCGAGGCAATTTAATAAGTTGATTATGCCGGCATACAGATTAGCTAGATTAAATGCTAGGTGCATCCGAACCCTTGAACGAAAGCATCCATTAGCTGTTATTCCCCTATCATTCGTCATCATTTCTTTTAATTTCAAGAGCAAACAGACAACGCGAAGTCCCATGAGTGCACTTCAAGTTAGAAACTAAATGAGCAACTGCTGCCGGGAAACAAAGATTCACTGGCGTCACGCGTAGAAGAAAGAACAACAACCGACGGGCGGAAAACAATACATATCCCCAGGGCGAAGGATTTCGCCAGTACGATGGTGAGTGTAATTGCAATATAAATACTTAAAGCCAGCTCAAAAAGCCATTTCGGAGTTGATGTCAAACGGAATGAAATTACGTTGTTCCCAAAATGAAAAAGTTCTGAGTTCTGAGTTCGCCATATGGTTGTGTGGGCTTCCATTTGCAGAATGCCTCGCCAGATTGAGAACCAAATTTCAAAATAATGCTCCCTCCTGGCGGCCAATTGAAAAACTCGCAGAGCCATATCAATTACCACAATCGCATGACATTTTCGAGGTCGAGATTCTGGGTACTTGGGTCCTTTATTTTTATCCCAACACCCTGTGGCTTTCCTTTGACACCAAAGAAGTGTTAAGCGGCATACGACACATGATTGAATTGCAAAGGACTCAGGCAAGCGGCTAGAATTTGCGTTCAGCACGTAACCAGCTTGAATGATTAGTTCCCTAGAAACCCAGTTTGGCACAGCGCTTTCCCTCCAAGTGAATGACTTGAAGTTGCCACTTTTTCCACTCAGATGAGGCCAGTTCGAGCTGCATCCCAACTCAGCCTTTTTGAAACTAAATCGACTTCAATTAATAAGGAAAATGTCCTGGGCCCAGTAGCCGTCAGATGAAATCATCAGGCGCAGTGTTTCCAGCAAACAAATCGCACGAGCAGCAATCAAATTCATCTTATTGTGGCGAAACATGAGACCTACCGCAAATAAATCACAAAAATAGCTGACTAGAAGTGCCAGCAGCTGGAATCCGTTCGAATTTCCCGGAAAACGGCTGACATTTAAAATCTTTGGCATGCTCCGCTTATCCAGTGAAGCGAAAATATGGCTAAAATTATTCCATATTTGGGACAACTGCCGATTACTTGAGGCTGCTTTACATAATTTTCCCCACAACAAACTCCTTTCCTTCTCCCAACTGATGAAGCTACGCAGTGATTTTCCTTTGCTTTGGGGAACAGAACATGCAAATTCAATTCCCATATTGCGAGTCCATACATCGCAGTCGTGTTGGGTGATTGGAACTTTTGCGACAAATTGCTGATCAACTTCGGACAGTGTCTAATGCTCCTTTTCCTAGGGTGAAATCTTTCCATTAGGTCCTTGCCCGAAGCGGAAGGGGAATCCCACTATGCAGACTTGCCAGTTTGCGGTCGACAGACTTTTCCATTTAGGACTCTTATGTTTGAGTTGCAAGTGCAAATATTAGTCAATTAAGAGCCGGGCCACTCGAAATTAAATTTCCATGGAAACTTGCCTCGCCCCGATGCCCCACAGCCAATCTGCTATCTGGCGAGCTAATCCCCCGATTGGCAAGATTTATTAGCCCCTCATTTATCGCAGCTGTCAGAGGCACATAAGGCATACCTTTGGGCGCCTCCATAAGTCTGCTTCAGCAACCTTCGAGCGAGGCATCGGATTTTATCGATAGTGACAAGTGCGCAGCCATCGGGCGCATAAAATTACACAATTATTTTAGCAAATGTCGTCATTTACAACCTGCCTATTTCTGTTTCTGCTTCTGCTTCTGCTTCTCTGTGGATATCTGGATCTCGGCTGGCGGCTATGTCTATCTGGCAACAAATGCCAGGCATCAAAATCAGACGCACATTTTCCGGGGGAAACGGCACTTTTGACTTTTTCCAATTAAATGCATGTCTCGCCCTGATGTGCTGCATAAATTACGGCGACGAGTAATGCATGAATATTTACGAGGGAAAACAACCAACTAACTGAAGCCCGGTTCGAGATATTGCATAAATTGACTGCGAATGGAAGACATATTTCAAAAAGGGACTGCAAAACTTTTAAACAAAGCGAATTACTTTGCCTTGCCAGTGTTATCCTGTAGCAGATAATTTCAGAGTCGAGTCCCGTGAGGCAGGCCATTGTCTGTGTTCAGAAAGGCATTAAAAAGCGAATGCCAAAGGCTTTTGAAGTTTTATCAAGCCAAAATCTGAACTCAATTACTAAATGGCTCACTGGCAAATGGATCTGGTGTCAGGTGGAGGTGCTTTTAGTCGATAAACACTATGATTTTGCGTTGACAAAGATAGTTCTCTTAGCACTTTTAAGCTTTTAAAGAGGAAAGCTTCCTAAAACCAATTTATGATGGCACAATTGTAGCGAAACAATAAATTTGACGAAACTGTTGTCTTCCATTAATGTTGATCTAGTAAATAACCTTAGTTACGTGTACTTAAAGTCTTTTTAAATTACTTCAAAAACCCTGAGCGGCTGACTTATGTAAACTGCTATTTTAAAGATATGTAACTGACCGTAGCGTAGTTTGAGAAGGGTTACCCTGTATTTCTCCCAGTGTTTGCCTGCGAGTGAGTGAGTGAGGCGCAGAACCTTCATGCATGTCGTATGCCCATAGAATCCTTCGGTGCTGGGCCACCTACTGGCACCAAACAAACTTTTTATACGATTATTGCCCCGTATTTCAGACCACAAAGCATTAAACCAGTGGAATTTGCCGTTCGCAGCTCGCTAGAAAGTTTGGCGTGTGCAGCAAGCCAATCTCATCAATCATACGTGATGTGGCACGCAAAGTTGCCGCTGCCTCCTTGCCCCCTGACAATTGAATATTTGATGCCGCGGATTTGGGGAATAATGAGACCCGTTTGCCTCCTTCGTTTCCCAGATAATCAGCATGAACCAGACGGAGGCCGCCCAGCTGGCGGCTGGGGAGCATCTGGGCGGATACGCCAGCAGCAGCAACAGCGTGCGCTATCTGGACGACCGGCATCCGCTGGACTACCTTGACCTGGGCACGGTGCACGCCCTCAACACCACTGCCATCAACACCTCGGAGCTGAACGAGACTGGGAGCAGGCCGCTGGACCCGGTGCTCATCGACAGGTTCCTAAGCAACAGGGCGGTGGACAGCCCCTGGTACCACATGCTCATCAGCATGTACGGCGTGCTAATCGTCTTCGGAGCCCTGGGCAACACCCTGGTGGTTATAGCCGTGATCCGGAAGCCCATCATGCGCACTGCCCGCAATCTGTTCATCCTGAACCTGGCCATATCCGGTGAGTAGTCATGCCCACAGACAGCCGTCGCAAGTGTGAGTCTCAACCGAGCCGACTTTCAGACCTACTTTTATGCCTAGTCACCATGCCGCTGACCTTGATGGAGATCCTGTCCAAGTACTGGCCCTACGGCTCCTGCTCCATCCTCTGCAAAACGATTGCCATGCTGCAGGCCCTGTGTATTTTCGTGTCGACCATATCCATAACGGCCATTGCCTTCGACAGATATCAGGTTAGTCCTGCTCGAGCCTTTTTAATGCCAACGTTAGTATGTAAATGGGGCCATCAAGGGGCACATCGTGTTCGGTTATTAACGAGGTGAGTGGCTTCAATTTGTAGCCATTCAGCTTAACATTGGGGGAATATAGATGGGCTCTGAGTAAATATTAGGCGATTACATAAGGGCTTAGCCCACAAATATAGCTATTTGTATAGTGTCGAAACAGGGACCATTAAAAAGGGTTGATGGATTATCCGCAGAAGGATTATTAGGTATTGAGGGTAAATATTTACACATAAAAGTTTGAAGGTAAAAGTGGAAAAGTTGGAAACGCATATAAATAGGGCCGGCTTTTTATCCATTTAAGGCGAGTCTCTTACATGAATGCAGAAGAATTTATAAGTTTGCTGAAACTCCAATTATTGCTCTGGTTGGAGAAACCTATATTAGAGATAGCCACCAATAAGAGATACTATTTAAGAGATACTATATTGCATTTCAACTAAACATTCAGAGTGCGAATGGGTAATGGAATCCCAAGCCCGAGACATCCTAACCGCCTAACTTCACTTCCAGGTAATCGTGTACCCCACGCGGGACAGCCTGCAGTTCGTCGGCGCGGTGACGATCCTGGCGGGGATCTGGGCACTGGCACTGCTGCTGGCCTCGCCGCTGTTCGTGTACAAGGAGCTGATCAACACAGACACGCCGGCACTCCTGCAGCAGATCGGGCTGCAGGACACCATCCCGTACTGCATCGAGGACTGGCCCAGTCGCAACGGGCGCTTCTACTACTCGATCTTCTCGCTGTGCGTGCAGTACCTGGTGCCCATTCTGATCGTCTCGGTGGCCTACTTCGGGATCTACAACAAGCTGAAGAGCCGCATCACCGTGGTGGCCGTGCAGGCGTCCTCCGCCCAGCGGAAGGTGGAACGGGGCCGGCGGATGAAGCGGACCAACTGCCTGCTGATCAGCATCGCCATCATCTTTGGGGTTTCTTGGCTGCCGCTGAACTTTTTCAACCTGTACGCGGACATGGAGCGCTCGCCGGTCACACAGAGCATGCTCGTCCGCTACGCCATCTGCCACATGATCGGCATGAGCTCCGCCTGCTCCAACCCGCTGCTCTACGGCTGGCTCAACGACAACTTCCGTAAAGAATTTCAAGAACTGCTCTGCCGTTGCTCAGACACTAATGTTGCTCTTAACGGTCACACGACAGGCTGCAACGTCCAGGCGGCGGCGCGAAGGCGTCGCAAGTTGGGCGCCGAACTCTCCAAGGGCGAGCTCAAGCTGCTGGGGCCGGGCGGCGCCCAGAGCGGCACCGCCGGCGGCGAGGGCGGTCTGGCGGCCACCGACTTCATGACCGGCCACCACGAGGGCGGACTTCGCAGCGCCATCACCGAGTCGGTGGCCCTCACGGACCACAACCCCGTGCCCTCAGAGGTCACCAAGCTGATGCCGCGGTAAAGAACAGGGTATTCGTGTCCGCCTCCGCAGGACATACGCGTGCATGTCCTTTGTGCGCCCTCGGGCTGATTGGATTTGCATGCTCCAAACGTCGTTGCTGCTCGCTTTTCGTTTCACTTGTTCCAACGGCAACTGCCACCTCTTCAGTGCACTGAGCGAAAAGCGTGTCCTAAAAGCGGAAAACACACTTTTTCTGTAAACTCCATAAGCAGACGCGTTTCAAAAGTTTCTTGCTTATGCTTATTTATTTCATTTTATGTAATATTAATATGTTAATAACGATAGCTTCGTTCCCAATTCCGAATTTCCTCGTTTTTGAATGTACCATTGGTCCATATTCGAAGCAAGTTGTATAAATATTTTTGTAAATATCGTATTGCCCACCTTAACTTTTAAAACTGTCTAAATAGTATCTTAACCTCACCCCGATATTCACTCTCTTGCATTTCCATACTAATTGTACAAACTTTCTGATCTAAGGGGCTTGCTCTTGCCGGCTCCAACTGGGATTACTTTTCAGTTGGCTGACTAGGCATATTTATTCTCAGTGTATGCATGCGCTTCTCTTATCGTTGCCTTGTCGAGCTGTAACTCTTGTCGTTGCCATGTTGTGACATTATTTGCTTTTGAGCAGCAATCGATTATGACCCGCCTTTTGTGACACATTTTCAGTTTGGAACAGTACTAAATTGGCAATCAATCCTGGAGCAGCGGCGGCTGGAGAAGCGTTCTAGTGAGGCGACTACCGAGTCGCCCTTAGACTTAGCACATATTGTCCAGTGATCCAAAGCCAAGCTGAGTTACCCCTAGGTTAAGAATGTAATTTATTCTAAGCGATAGTCTCATGGCATCCATCATCAACGTCGGACTAAGTCTATGGTCAGATCATTTCCGTATCGAATGCCGAAAAGTAATTGATTGAGCCCCAATTGGATTTCGGGTATTTGATAAGTCGAACACGCCTAAGACCTCAAATAAGTTATCCCAACAGTTCCTAGGAAATGTTTTCGTTTTCTGTCATTTTCTTGGCATTATCTAAGCTTAGGAATAGCTATAATTAATGTTATGTTCGCTATTCAGTAATGATAGCATAAGTTGAAGTTCACTAGCCGAAGTGAGCTTAAGTTATAGTCCATAATTGTAAAGCATAACTTTAAAATAAATGTCAGCTGCTCTTAAACATCCAAAGCAAGTGTTTCACTGTCTGCTAAATTTGATAAATTTGTGATAAATTATAGAACGCTTTCACTGAAAATGCGAAGGTTTGGCTGAAGTGCAAATTCGAGAGGCCTCTTGCATTGTTCAAAATGTGCAACCTTAAGAGGTTTCAAAGCCCGAAACTTCAGAATGTTTTTTCCCTTATACCAATAAAGTGGCACTTTTGTATACATACAAGTATCAAGATTAAAGCATGGTAAGTATAGGGTTGGAGTAGGTAAAGTATGAAAATGTAAAAGTATATAATTCTCTTTAAAGATTTTTCAAGGCACTTTAAATGATTCCCCAGCAAGTGATCCAAAAAAGGACATCGTGCTTCGAAGTTGAACAACCAAAGTAATAAACGGCAGCTGACCCGCTCAACACTTAACCTTCGACACTTTTGAGGGTTCAAGACATAAAAACCTATGACCCATAAAAAAGCGCTCGAGCTTGTTGGACCCAGCAGCAAGGAAGTTTGAGAACCAGAATATCTGCAGATATAGGAAATATACTTTGAAAGCGGTGTTCAGCAAGACCTTTGACCCTGGAATAGGCATCCTAATTAGGGTGTTCTGGGTTCGCTACTAATAAACTCATTAGCATATTTGGCAGGCCCTCTGGATGAGCGACAGGTATAGGAGATTAGTGTATGATTACATATCAATTTGGGAAAAGCACCGTGGAGGGCGAAAGGCCGGTCAGCATTTCCTCAAAGTCGCTGCTGGGTTCACAGTGCGCCGACATGTGACACAAACGTGACCGGTGGCGAGTCAATTATGGATCACAGCCGAAAAGAGAAATGTTCCCACCAGGCAGCGTGAAAATGAAACAAAAATAAAAACTAATTAAAATTTCGTTGAAATGAGTGATGCGACCGGTGAGGGCTCACCTCAGCTGCTTCTGGCTGCTGTAAAACTGTCAACGGTTTGTTTTGACGGCTCGTAACGGCCCTTTGCACTCGGGCTCGTGAAAGTGTTTACCTTATTTTTTGTCACACTCAGCCGGCTCCCCACCATCCACTCCCATTCCCAGCCCCCTGGTCAACACCATCATCACCAACCTCTCCACGAAGTGCTGATTACGCACGCCCATACTTTCTTCTCAAGCAGATTGCGCAATGCTGACAAACCATTCTGGGTGTGTGATAGTATCGCCCGGCAGCTTTAGTGAACCAAACTTGCCGCCATCGAAATTTTACGAAGCCGGCGTGAGCTGGCAATTAGCATATTTATGAGTAAAAGTGAAATTAATGATTGGAATTAAATTCAAAGCAAAGCTTGCAAATATTTGCGTCGGTCCAAGACCCTCTCTGCATACCAATCGATCGGATTCGGACTCAGATTTGGATTGAGACGAGATATAACGTAATATACAGATGGGTTCAATGGGTTCACTGTTGGACGCATGTCAGTCGAAGTGATAGAGGATGCCGGGGCTTTCTTTGACATCTTTGGCGGCGCTTTAATACGTGCTAAATAAATTCGCAACGAGCACTTTCACAGAGGACGGCCAAAATGGGTGATAGTCAATTGTTCAGCCTTTTCTCGGGCAAAGAAGTTGGCCCCGATTTGCGTTGGGCATTTAGAAAACATTGCTCTGACCATTGTTACATTGAGAGTTGTTATTGATTTTGCGGTCCCATAAGCTGGCTTTCATTTCGCTTTGGCTTTTGAGCTTCCCAGTGGTTCAGTGGTTCAGTGGCTTGTGGGCTTGTTGGCTTGATGGTCGGGGGCGGAGTGTTTCCGCTCGTTAGCCACAAGTCAATGGCAAAGTTTGTCACCAGAAATTAATAACAATGTGACGCTCAGTTGGCCAATTCTAAACGGCGGCTTTCCCATGCGTAAACCGGCCCACAAAACCCGTTCACAGATCAAACGGTGACAACTTATAAATAAGTGAAAATGTGCTACAGCTAAACTAGTTCAGCTTAAATATTTATAGAAATCGAAAATACTCGCCAGATCTGCAAAACTGCATTTTGCGACTATGTTCGCAATCTCTAATCCTCTTATTCCCACCACGACAACATGTGCATTCCAAACATATATTTCAGCAGATGTTATTGGCTCTACCAAAAAAATGCAGTATATATAGAGGAAAAACGTAGATAAGTCTGGGTAACTTTTTCAAAATCAGTCAGGTATGGTTGGTTTAACTCCTGAAACCCACAAATACAACACAACAAGGCAGCCATTAGGGAAAACTTTAAAGTTTTCGACCGAAAATGTTGCAACGAACTCCTGGAACAAGAAACTCTAATTCACCATTCACTTTGTTTTAAGTCGAAATAGGTTTGTCTTTTAGTATAAGATTGTATACATCTGTTCAATCATTAGCTTGGATTATATTTTCCTTTTAAAAATTACTAAAATGCTACTGCTGCTTACTTTTCTTATCTTTTATTCTTCCCATTTGCAATATTAATTATTTTAATCGAGTGCAAATTGCGTAAGAACCTCAGTATTTCAAAAGTTTAACCGCTTCTGGTGGGGAAAAGCACCAGAAGCAAATTGTAACAAATTAAATAAAGTTTGCGGCAACTCTTGGCCAAGTTTTTCAACAGAGGTCGGCAGCTTCCCTCGCAGGGCCAACAAAATCGAAAGTTCGACCAAACCGGCGACTGGCTAACAAGTGACTGTTTTCCGTTAGCACATGGTGACGACTTTTTCGCGCCATGACTTGACTTATTTGTATAGCTTCGTATTATTATTTATTATTATTCGCATAAAAATTGATATGCAGCTGCACGGCGACACGGTTTGTAGTTTTAATTAGTGACTAATTTCCCGAGCAGAAGAGAAAATGGCTGGTCACTGATGACACACTGGCAATACTTTTGTAACATTTAAAATGTTAACTTTAAAATTATTAATTCAGCGTTGGCGCATATTTCATAGATAGTATATATATACAGGTTATATTATTATATACAGGGTATTATTATATATATCTATATTTATATTATATATATAAACTATATATACATATAACTATATAGTTCGAACTCTTTAACTTACACCTATTACTTATTTGAAGCTAAAGTTAAGTTATTAGTTAGGAATTTGTTTAATTTAGTTAGCACTTATTTAGTTAACATACTAAGCAAGCTGAGGTCTGCTTTTCCCCATTTTTTCCGGTGTAGCGAACGGCCGCTCCAGCTGTTGAGCTTAGCTTTTGGCCCGGCTCAAAGTCTGGCCAAGAGGCTCTCTTAAGCTCTCTTCGCTACGTAAGAAGTGGGCCTGCTCACGTAGCGCTTCGTAAGGTAAAAACTGGTTGAAGGCACCCGCCGTTTGGCTTTCGCCCGGCAGTCCAAATCTTCGCGAGCTGAAAGACAGACGTAGCCGCGCGAGGAGCGAGAATAGTAGTTGGCGATCCAGAGCCTCTGATTATAATAACTGCCAGAATACAGCCTATCAGTAAACAGTGGCTCAAGTTCAAAGTGGGGTATTCCTTGCAGAGGCTAAAACTGCATCTGATCTGCAGTGATCTAAGTGTTGTTAAAGTGAAACGAGCTGTGGCAACTGCATTGACAAAGGAAGTGAATCAGTGAGTGAACGGGTTTCGGCCAGCATTTTCACCAGGCCAAATCGGAGCGCCGACGCGAGCGGCAGTGAATGCAATTCCAATTTCGAAATATACAGAAACGAAAGTCCGGCGAAGAAAGTTCTCCGCGGCCGAATGCAAAAATTTAATTACCAGCCAGTCGAGTGAGCCAGAAACTCCTGCAGGAATTACAAGCTCCCGAGTGCGAGAAGGTAAATTGAGTTGTAATTGATGACCGCCTGTGAGTGGCCTCATTAATCACCAGCGGATCCTCCGTGCAATGATTATTCACGAATCTCGATTCGAACAATTGATGAGTTATTGCCTGCTAGGAAGGAGGTTGTTGCCGCCAACCGGACAGACAATAAACCGATTGTTAACATTTC